TGCTGTGAAGAAGAATTTTAGCTTGATATAGTCCCATTTGTTTATTTTGCTTTTGTTTCTCTTGCCTTTGGAGTGGGTTCCACAAAAACCTTACTGAGACTGATATCAGAGAGATTATTGCTTATGTTTCCTTCTAGGAATTTTATGGATTCATGTCTTATATTCAGATTAATCCATTTTGTGTTCATTTTTGTGTATGGTGTAAGGTATTGGTCTAGTTTCTTTCTTTTGCATGCGACTGTACAGTTTTCCCAACACCAGTTGTTGAAGAGACTCTCCTTTCTCTGTTGATATTCTTTGTTCCTTCATTGTAAGTTTATTGTCTGTATATGTATGGGTTTACTTTTGTGCTCTCAGTTCTGGTCCATTGATCTGTGAGTCTGTTTTTGTGCTAGTACCATCCTGTTTTGCTTATTGTGGCTTTGTAGGAAACAAAACATACCGTTTTGATTACTGTTGCTTTGTAGGAAACAGTCATCCCTTGATATCTACAGGGGATTGGTTCTAGGACCCTTAAGGTATACCAAAATCCATGGATGTTCAGATCCCTTTTATAAAATGGCATATAACCTACCCACATACTCCCATATACTTTAAATCATCTCTAGATTACTTATAATACCTAATACAATGTAAATGATAGGTAAATAGTTGTAAATAAAATGTAAATGCTATGTAAATAGTTGCCAGAATGCAGCAAATTTAAGTTTTGCTTTTTGGAACTTTCTGGATTTTTTTCTGAATATTTTCAATCTAAGGTTGGTCAAATGCATGGATTCAGAACCCACAGATATGGAGGACCAGCTGTAATTTGAAATCAAGGAGTATGATACTTTCAGCTTTGTTCTTCTTTCTCAAGATTGATTTGGCTGTTGGGAATCTTTTGTGCTTTCACACACACATGGTTTTTATTACTATGGCTTTGTAGTTTACTTTGAAATTCAGAAGCATGATACCTCCAGTTTTTTGTTTTTTTTTTTTTCTTCTCAGAATCACAATTTGGAGTCTTGAGTTTCCACACAAATTTTAGGATTGTTTTCTCTATTACTGTGAGAAATACCTTTGGTATTTTTTACGGGGATTATGTTGAATCTGTAGATGACTTTGGATACTATAGCCATTTTAACAATATTAATTCTTCCAACCCGTGAATATGGGGTATCTTTCCATTTCTTCATGTCTTCTTTGATTTCCTTCAGCAGAGTTTTGTGGTTTTCATTATGCAGATCTTTCACTTTCTTGGTTAAAATTATTCCTAAATATTTTATTGTTTTTCATGCTATTGTGAATGGGATGGTGTTTTTTTTTAAATTTCTCTGTCAGATGCTTCATTATTAATGTAAAGGAATGTGATTGATTTCTGTATGTTGATTTTGTATCTTGCCACTTCACTGAAATCATTGGTAAATTCAAACAGTTTTTTGACTGGTTCTTTGAGATTTTCTGTATGTAGGATCATATCATCAGCAAATAACCACAGTTTTACTTCTTCTCTTTTTATTTGAATGACTAATTTTTTTTTGTCTTGACCAATTGCTCTAGCTAGGTCTTCCAGTACTAAACTGAATAGGCACATTGAGAGAGGGCGTTATTGCCGTGTTCTTGATCTTAGGGGAAATGCTTTCAATTTCTTTCCATCAAGTATAATCTTAGTTAGCTGAGAATTTTTAATGAAGAATTAGTGTTGAATATTGCCAAATATTTCTGTGTCTATTGAGCTGATCATATGAATTTTCTGTTTTTATTCTATTATTATTATTTTGTGTGTGTGTGTGTGTGGTACATGGGCCTCTCACTGTTGTGGCCTCTCCCATTGCAGAGCACAGGCTCTGGATGCGCAGGCTTAGCGGCCATGGCTTACAGGCCCAGCCACTCAGCGGCATGTGGGATCTTCCCAGACCGGGTCATGAACCCGTGTTCCCTGCATCGGCAGGCAGACTCTCAACCACTGTGCCACCAGGGAAGCCCTTATTCTATTATTAATATGATACATTTCATTCATTGGTTTTTGAGTGCTAACCCAGCCATCATGCAGTCCTGAGATTAGCCTCACTTGGGTTATTTAATATATATACATTTATATGTATATATATAAATTTAAAATTTGCCAATGTTTTGTTCAGGATTATGGCACTTATTTTAACAAGGGAATTGTCTGTAGTTTTATCTTTTCTTGCAATCTTTTCTTCTGGTTTTGGTGTCAGGGTAATTCTGGACTCATAAAATGAGTTGGAACGTGCTCCCTTACCCCTACTTTCTGAAAGAATTTGTTTAATATTGGTATTATTCCTATTTATGGAAGAGCACTTAAGAGGAGATTTACCCCTGTAATCTAAGCCCCTAGAAGTTTTATAGTTTGGATTTTAGTTTTAGGCTTATGACCCATTTGAGTTGTTATTTGTGTGTGTGTGTGTGAGAAAGGTGTAGGGTCAGTGTCTAGAGTCATTATTTTCCTTGTGAATGCCCAAGTTGTTCCAACACCATTTATTGATAATTCTCCATTGAGTTGCATTTACTCCATTAACAAAGGTTTTGTTATCTCTATGTAGTTCTGTTTCTGGGGTCTCCATTTTGTTCTAAGCTCTTTGTCTATTCTTTTGTGCATACTACACTGCCACTATTATAGTTTTTATTAAGTTTTGAAGCTGGGTATTTTTGATCCTTCAATTTTCCTCCTCCTCTTCCTCCTCCTCTTCATCTTCCACCTCTTCTTTTTCTTCTTCCTTCTCTTTCTCAGCATTAGGTTGTCTGCTCTGAGTCTTTTGCCTTTCCATATAAACTTTAGAATCAGTTTGACTATGTCCACAAAATAATTGCTGGATTTTTTTTTATTGTAATTGCACTGAATCTCTACATCAAGTTGTGAAGAACTGACATTTTAACAATGTTTAGTCTTCCTATCCATGAACATGGACTATCTCTCCATTTATTTATACCTTCTCTGATTTTCTTCATCAAGTTTTGTAGTTTTTCTCATATCGATCCTTTGAAATTTTGTTAGGACTATTCCCAAGTACTTCATTGTTTTGGTGCTAATGCAAATGGTATTGTGTTTTTTATTTCAAATTTTTATTTTTCATTGTTGGTATAAAGGAAAACAATTTCCAGCAACCTTGCTATAATTGTTTATTAGTCACAGGAGGCTTTTATTGTTATTGTTCTTTGGCTAATTATTTGGTATTTTCTTTACATAGGCAGTCACGTAATCTATGGATAAAAATAGTTTTTGTTTCTTTCCCACCTGTATATTTTCACTTCATTTTCTAGTCTTATTGCATTAGCTAGGACTTCCAGTAAGATGCTGAAGGGAGTGGTGAGAATGGGCATCCTTGCCTTGTTTCTTTTTTAGGAGGAAAGCTTATAGTTTCTCACCATAACTGTGATATTAGCCACAGGTTTTTTTCTAGATGTTACCAAATTGAAGAAGTTCCCTCTATTCCTAGTTTGCTAACGTTTTGTATAAGTGAGTTTGGATTTTGTCAAGTGCTTTTTCTACAGCAATTTTTATGGTCACTGATTTTTGTTCTTCAGCCTGTCAATATGATGGATTATATTAATGGATGTTTGCATAATAAACCAGCCTTGCATACTTGTGATAAATCCCATTTGGTTGTAGTATATAATTATTTTTGCACATTGTTGGATTCAATTTCCTAATTTTTTGTTGAGGATTTTTGCATCTATGTCTATGAGATCTATTTATTGATTGATTGATCTGTAGATTTATTGATGAGATCTATAGATTTAGTGATATGTAATTTTACTTTGTCTGGGCTTGATATTAGGCTAATACTGACCTCATAGAATGAGTTAGGAAGCATCACATATCAGTGCTGGGAGAGTAATATGGCTGTGATTCCATGGCATAAAGGCAGTAGAAGCTCCATGTTTAATGCTTCTCCTGGATTCTGTCCTCAGTGCTTTTTCTCTTGACTGATTTTAATTTGTATCCTTTCCATATAATAAACCATAACTGTGAGTATAACAGCTTTCAGTGAGTTCTGTGAGTTCTTCCAGTAAATTATAAAACCTGAGGGTGGTTTTGGGAATCCACTGAACTTGAGATTGGTGAAAGAAATGAGGAGAGTCTTGGGGACTGTTCTCTCTAACTTTGCAGTGGGTCTAAACTCTACCCACCCTTTTTCCCCCCAGCTTTACTGAGGTATGATTAACAAATAAAAACTGTATATATTTAAGGTGTACAGGTATACAATGTGATGTTTTCGTATATGTACACATTGTGAGATGATTCCTGCATCAAACCAGTTAACATATACATCATCTCACACAGTTATCATTCTTTTGGTTTGGTGAAAATACTTCTACTTCTTAGCAAATTTCAAGTATGCAATACAGTATTGTTAACTATAGTCATCAAGCTGTACATTAGATCCTGAGAAATAACTCATCTCATAAATGAAAGTTTGTACCCTTTTTTTTTTTTTTTTTTTTTTTTTTTTGGTGGTATGCCGGCCTCTCACTGTTGTGGCCTCTCCCGTTGCGGAGCACAGGCTCCGGACGCGCAGGCTCAGCGGCCATGGCTCACGGGCCCAGCCACTCCATGGCATGTGGAATCTTCCTGGACCGGGGCACAAACCCCCATCCCCTGCATCGGCAGGCGGACTTTCAACCACTGAGCCACCAGGGAAGCCCTGAAAGTTTGTACCCTTTGATCATTGTCTCCCCTTTCCTCTCACCTTTCAGGCACTGGTAACTACCATTCTATACTCTGTTCTATTATTCAGTTTCTTTAAAAAGTTGCTTTATATGTTTTGCCCAGTTTTCTAGTTGAATAAGAATTAGTAAGGTACCAGTTACTCTGTTGTGACCTGAAGTAAAAATGGCACCTTAGTATTGTAATTGTTTAAAGATGCAAAAATCTATAAATGTTGACAGCATGCGTATTTTTACCCCGCAAATAAAAAAATAAGCATAGCTCCTGACAAAGTTTATATTACTTCCATGATGTATTTTTACTTGTGCCTTCCACTCTTTTATAGCAATGTGGACCTGATAGCTGTTGTAATCCTCAAACTTGTGTGCTGAAACCAAATACACAATGTGATAGAGGATTATGCTGCAACAACTGTCAAGTAAGATTTTAGTTTATTACTATCTTCTAAGTATATAATGAATTATGTCTTGGATACTTTAGAATACACAGACACTTAGCTGTAAGTCAAAATAAATGACCTTTCATGTAAAGAAAAAAGTACTAAATTCAGGGTGATGTTTCTGATTTTATGAATTATAGTTGGATGTTGAGGCCTCCTTATAATGCCATTTTTCTCCCTAACGATGCTATTGTTTTTAAGTCTTGACTGAGAGCTATTACAGAATTTTTTGATACAGAAGATCACCATTAAAAGGGACTGTTTTCATTTATTTTATCCAATATATATATATATATATATATATATATATATATATATATTATTTTATATTTTTATTTATTTATTTTTTTTCGGTACCTCTCACTGTTGTGGCCTCTCCCGTTGCGGAGCACAGGCTCTGGATGCACAGGCCCAGCAGCCATGGCTCACAGGCCTAGCTGCTCCGCAGCATGTGGGATCTTCCCGGACCGGGGCACGAACCCGTGTCCCCTGCGCCACCAGGGAAGCCCCCAATATTTATATTTTTGTGAATAAAAATTATATTTTAGGTTGTGATGGGTATCTGTAAGTATGTAACTGAAAGATACAGCAATTTTCCATAAATCCATAAATAATAAAACTCACTAGATGTAACACTTTCCAAATGCTACATGTTAGCACAAAATTTAAACTGTGAATTTGTTATACAAAGATCATTTGACTTAAATGTCACATTTTAGCTTATATGGTGAAGATGTTGATTCCTGTCCCGTTTTACTTTTCAGCTCTTCCAACATATATGTGACAGATTCATCACATGAGAACCCCTCTATTGAACAATCTGCCACTGTTCTGTGTTCTTCACTATCCTTTGACTGATGTGGTTTTGTTATTTTTCTCCTAGAATCTTATCGTGTTTAATTCTTACCTCTATAATCTTTTTAGTGTAAACTGGAAGTCATCAATTAAGAAGTATGAGATAAATGTCCAATTAAGATTCTTTATATAAAATTTCAGAGTAGTATACATGAAAGTGTTAATTAACCATAGGATAATTCAGGAGAAAAATTACAATTGGGTTCCTTCTTTTCTAAGACTTCAGTAGTTGACCTGCCTCTTTTAATCGCTCTTTGGTTTCCCACTGTTCATTCTCAGTTATTTAGTTTCACATTTTCATAGAATTATAGATATTCCATACTTAAAAACTATGGTTTGAATAAGTATATTTTATTTGGAAATTATCTAAATTTCATAATTTTTGCCCCAAAGGAATAATTATCCCAAGCTAAAAGCTACTTTTCCTCCCTTCTACCAAAGCACAAACAAAACTTGGGCTCTCATTGTATCATATTTGTGTTATCCTTTTCCTTGTACATATGTCTTATCTCCTGTTTTGGTTGAAAACGTTCAATTTTTTTCAATATGATTATCATAATGCTTTATAACAAGAAGATAGTAAGAGACATTAATGAATAAGTACATCATCAAACTATAAATAGAATTAGAGCAATTTTAAAATAAATATTGATGAATACAACAACCTTATATATAATGCTTTAATTTTTATGCTTTAATTTCTATTAGTTTATGCAAGCAGGTGCTGTATGTAGGCCCATTGCACATCCTGAATGTGATGTTTCTGAGGTTTGTAATGGAAGCTCAGGAAGCTGTCCAGCTGATATAACTATACACAATGGACACAAATGTAAAGGAGGAAAAGCTTTTTGTTTTGATGGAGGCTGCCAAGATCTTGATGCACGTTGTGAGAGCATATATGGAAAAGGTATTGTATTGTAACATCTATGTAGTTGGTGCTCAGTATTTTTATTAACATTACCAAGACAATGGACAATTATGTATATTTAAATTCTTTATTCTGTTTAACTCTCTATTTTTATTTTTTTTGAGCTTATTAAGGTATAAATGAGAAAAATATGTTTAAGGTGTACAACGTAATGTTTTGATATACATATACGTTGTGAAGTAATTGCCACAGTCATCTACTTAACATATTCATTGCATATGTATACCTAGGAATTGGCTTACTGGATCATAGGGTAGTGCATTTAAATTTTTGAGAAGTCTGTCTATTGTTTTCCATAATGGCTGTACCAATTTTCATTCCCACCAACAGTGTATAAAAGTTTCCTTTTCTCCACATCCTTGTTAATACTTATTATCTTTTTCTTTTTGATAACAGCTATCCTAAAAGCTGTGAGTTGTGGTTTTGATTTTCATTTCCCTGATGATTAGTGATGTTGAGCTCCTTTTCACATATCTGATGGTCATTTGTATGTCTTTTATTTCAAGAAATGTCCATTTAGGTCCTCTGCTATTTTTATTTTTATTTATTTATTTATTTATTTATTTTTGCGGTACGCGGGCCTCTCACCGCTGTGGCCTCTCCCGTTGTGGAGCATAGGCTCTGGACGCACAGGCTTAGCGGCCATGGCTCACGGGCCTAGCCGCTCCACGGCACGTGGGATCTTCCTGGACCGGGGCACGAACCCATGTCCCCTGCATCGGCAGGCGGACTCTCAACCCCTGCACCACCAGGGAAGCCCCTCCTGTGCTATTTTTAGATCTCATTATTTGTCTTTTTTATTGAGCTATATGAGTAACATATATTTTGGAGATTAATCCCTTATCAGATATATGGTTTACTAATATTTTCTCCCATTCGGTAGGTTTCATTTTTGCTTTGTTGATTGTTTCCTTTGCTGAGAAATTTTTTAGTTTTATGCAGTCCCACTTATCTATTTTTTTCCAGTTTAGTGTCCAAGAGCTTTCTCCCTATGTTTTCTTCTAGTAGATTTGTAGTTTCAGGTGAGTTTAAGTCTCCTCAACCACCTGCTTTATTGAGATACAATTGGCATATAACATTGTGTAAGTTTTAGTTGTACAACATACTGATTTGGTACTTTTATATATTTCAGAATCGTTACCTCCATAGTGTTAGCTAAACTTCCGTTATGTCACATAATTACCATTTCTTTTTCATGGTGAGAACATTTAAGATCTACTCTCTTAGCAACTTCCAAGTATATAATACGGTATTATTAAGTATAAACATCATGCTGTGCATTAGATTCCAAGAACTTATTCATCTTATAACTGGGAGTTTGTAAACTTTGATGAACATCTCCATTCTTCCCGCCTTGCAGCCTGTGCTAACTGTTGCTCTACTCTTTGTTTCTCTGAGTTCAATTAGATTCCACATATAAGTGATATCATATTGTCTTTCCCTGTCTGACTTATTTCACTTAGTATAATGCCTACAAGCTTTATCCATGTTGTTGCAAATGGAAGGATTTCCTTCTTTCTCATGACTGAATAATATTCATATCTCATATTTCCTTTGCCCATTCATCCTATCAGGAAGGAGAAAGTTTCCCATCCCTCTTACCTTCTCTGGTTCTTTCGCCAGGTCAAATAATTAAAATGACGTAAGATGGCTTAACTGGAGAAATAAAATTTTAATTCATACATATGAGAACTCCATATACATGAGAGGGTCAGAGATCCCATATACATAAGAGGTTCAGAGACAGAAAAGTAAAATGAGTTGCATATGACATCCTGAGGTAAGGAATGGGATAGGGGCCTGGGACTTTCAAGGACAGCAGGGTCGTTCACAGGACAAAATGAAGAGCAGGTGTTTGGTAATTAGATATTTGCCCTGTCATATAGATAGGGCCAGTTAGATAGAATTTTTTTTTTATAAAATACAATCAAATTTTTTAAAAAATATTTTTAAAAATTAATTTTTGGCTGCGTTGGGTCTTCATTGCTGCGTGAGCGGGCTTTCTCTAGTTGTGGAGAGCTGGGACTACTCTTCGTTGTGGTGCATGGGCTTCTCATTGCAGTGCCTTCTCTTGTTGCAGAGCATGGGCTCTAGTTGCGCGGGCTTCAGTAGTTGTGGCTCACGTGCTCTAGAGCACAGGCTCAGTAATTGTGGCTCACGGGCTTAGTTGCTCCGTGGCATGTGGGATCTTCCTGGACCAGGGATCAAACCTGTGTCCCCTGCATTGGCAGGTGGATTCTTAACCACTGCGCCATCAGGGAAGCCCTGAGATAGAATTTATCTCTGATAATAACTCTTTTTCTGGGAAAAATCCCTAATTTAAATTATTCTAGGTAGCTAAGGGAAGGGTAGTAGTTTCTCTTGAGCCTGCAGGGTCTCAGTTGCCTTTAGTTCAAAATAATCCACATGCCAAAGTGGTGCATCATGGGGAGGCTTGTTCTGAACCCCTACAATCCAGCAGAGTTTTAGATTGTTTCCGTATCTTGCCTATTGTGAATAATGCTGCAGTGAACATGGGTGTACAGATATCTCTTTGAGATCCTGTTTTCATTTCCTTTGGATATGAAGTGGACTGAAAGTGGAATTGCAGGATTATAGGCTAGTTCTATTTTTAACTTTCTGAGTAATTTCCATACTGTTATTCATAGTGGCTGCACCAATTTACATTCCCACCAACAGTCCACAAATGTTCTATTTCCCCCACATCCTCACCAACATTTGTTATCTCTTGACTTTTTGATGAAAGCCATTCTAACAGGTGTGAGGTAATATCACATTCTGGTTTTGACTTGCGTTTCCCTAATGATTAGTGATGTTGAACATCTTGTCATGTACCTGTTGGCCATTTGTATGTCCTCTTTGAAAATAGTCTATTCAGTTACTTTGCCCATTTTACAATTCAATTTTTTTTTTGATATTGACTTCCACTTCTTTATATATTTTGGAGATGGTTTTAATCAGATATATAATTTAAAAATATTTTCTCCCATTCCATAGGTTACCTTTTCTTTTCTTTTTTTTTTTTTTTTGATTGTTTCTTTTGCTGTGCAAAACCTTCTTAGCTTGGTGAAGACCCAGTTTTTATTTTTTTGCCTTTATTGCTAGTGCTCTTGGTGTCATATCCCAAAAGTTGTTACCAGGACCAGTGTTAAGGGGATTTTCCCGTGTCTTCTTCTGGGTGTTTTATGGTTTCTAATTTACATCTAAGTCTTATGAGTTCATTTTTTTTGAGCTGTGTAAGGTAGGGGTCCGATTTCATTCTTTTGCATGTGGCTGTCCAGTTTCCCCAAAACTATTTATTGAAGAGATTCTCCTTTCCCCATTGAGTATTCTTGGCTCCCTTGTCAAATATTAGTTTGACATATATGTGGGGGTTTGTTTCTGGGCTCTCAATCTTGTTCTGTTGTCTATGTGTCTCTTCTTATGCCAGTACCATACTGTTTTAATTACTATAGCTTTGTTATATAATTGTAATAAGGAAGGATGTACCTCTAGCTTTGTTCTTTCTCAAGATTGCTTTGGCTATTCAGGGTCTCTTGTGGTTCCATACAAATTTTCAAATTGTTTTTTTATATTTCTATGAAAAATACCTTTGAAATTTTTGTTAGGGATTGCCAACATGGCATTAGGTGATATGGACATTTTAATGATATTAATTCTTTTGATCCATGAACACAGAATATCGTTGCTTTTGTTTTTGTCTTCTCAGAGTTCTTTCATGAAAGTTGTAGTTTTCAGGCTATACATCTCTTACTTCGTTAATTTATTCCAAAATATTGTATTGATTTTGATGCTATTGGGAATGGTATTTTTTTAAGTTTTCAGTTGTTTTGTTGTTAGTGTACAGAAATTCAACTGATTTCCATATGTTGATTTTCTATCATGCAACTTCACTGAATTTGTTGATTAGTTCTGACAGCGTTTTGGTGGAACATTCAGGATTTTTTCTATATGAGATTATATTGTCTGTAAACAAAGACAACTTTACTTCTTCTTTTCCAATTTGGATGCCTTTTATTTCTTTTTCTTCCCTAACTACTCTTGCTACAAATTTCAGTACTAGTTGAATAGGAGTGGTGAGAATGAGCACCCTTAGGTTTTTCCCAGTGTTAGAAGAAAAGCTTTTAACTTTTTACCATTGAGTATGATGTTGGCCGTGGGTTTATTATTATATGGCCTTTATTGTGTTAATGTCTGTTTCTTCTACACTTAGTTTGTTGATCAGTTCTGTCATGAAAGGATGTTGTATTTTGTCAAATGCCTTTTGTGCATCTATTGAGAGGATCATATAATTTTTTTATCTTTCATTCTGTTACTGTGGTATATCACATTTATTGATTTGCATATATTGAATCATCCTTGCATTCAGGGATAAATGCTGTTTTACCCCATGATGTTTGATCCTTTTTATGTTCTGTTGTATTTGGTTTGTTAATATTTTGTTGAGAATTTTTGTATCTGTATTCATCAAGGATATTGCTCTGTAGTTTTCTTGTATGTTCTTATGTGGCTTTGGTATTTGGGTAGAGCTGGCCTTGTAGGATGGTATTGGAAGTGTTCCATTTTCTTCAGTTTTTTGGAAGAGTTTGAGAAGGATTGGCATTAATTCTTTAAATGTTTGGTATAGTTCACCAGGAAAATCATCTGACTTGGGCTTTTTTGTATTGAGAGGTTTTTGATTACTGATTCATTCTCCTTACTACTAATTAGTCTGTTCTGATTTTCTATTTCTTCAAGATTTAGTCTTGGTCAGTTGTATGTTTTGGGGATTTTATTCATTTTTTTCTAGGTTATCTAATTTGTTGGTGTATAATTGTTCATAGTAGTCTATAACAATCCTTTGTGTTATTTTAATGTAAACATTTCCATATATTGGTAAGTTCACCAACTGTTATTAATTTGCAGTTTCTTACCATTGTTTTTGGAAAAGATATTTTCTATGACTTCAATCTTCTTAAATTTACTAGGACTTGTTTTAG